CAATTCTACTAGTACAGAGGGGATGCCTGGTGGCAAGGCTCCCAGTGTGAGCTCAGTACTTTCCCATTCACTTAGATCAGCAGGTCCTGTAACTGTCAGAGAGTGGTCAGCCAGGACTGATTTGGGGGCAAAGCTGGGACCAAGGCAGATAAGCAGGAACGGAGTGACCAGAGGTGCTGAAGGCTGGGCACCTTCAGCCGTTAGAGGTGTTGGAAACCAGTCAGAAATCTGATGGTCCCTTCTCCAGAGCACTCCAGGAAGCCCTGTGCCCATGTCTGCTAGGATAGCTTCCTGAACTCTCTCCTGAGCAGTCTCCCAACCAGGCCAGAGCAGCTGTGTCTCCTGCCCCCGTATTCTGTCTTCCAGCTGCACCTTTGCCTACGCTGTCCTTTGGCTTGGAACCCCTCCATCTGGAACCTGCCTGTTTCATCTACAAGATTGAGTTCCCCTGTCCCCTGCCCTAGAACCTTTGTCTGATACCTGTGCCCCCATGACCTCAGGGTCACCAGGATGTCCCCTTTGCTTCTCCTCCCAGCCCATTACTTTATCTGTTCCCCAAATGGCCTGTGATTCTTCAAGGGCAAAGCCCAGGCCTCTCATCTCCACGTCCTTCACCCCCACCATCGCTCCTGGCCTTGATGGGCGGTGTGTGGAACATAGGAACGAGGCACAGAAGGAATAATGTTGGACTGCGTGTGTCCCGTGGGGCCCTATGCAGGGCGTGAACTGAAAGTCCTCAGCTCACCTCTGGAGGTGAAGGATAGGGGTTCTGTATGCAGCTGTTCTCATGCTGCCTGGGATGGGCAGGGCGACTCGATGGGCATGTGAGTTCCACTCCAGAGGACAGAATTTCTAACATGTGTGCTGCTGCTGGAGGAGCATGAACAGAGTCTAGACCACCGAGCCGTACGTCCTGGGCAGAAGGTTGGGTACGGCGAGCTTGAAACTCCCTCCTGACTCGTCAGATGAAGTGGACCCCCAGTCATCCCTCCTTGAGTCCCCATCCCCTCACTCCAAGCTTGAGCCTTCTCACTCTCCCCAAACCTTTTGAACAGAGAGCACAAAGGAGCAGGAAGCGATAGCCCTGCTCCCTGACAAGGGTATCGGGGCTCTGGGCAACCATGTCCTTGCCCCGCAAGGAAAGAGATTTCCAGAATTCCCAAGACCAGTGTTCCCCCAACAGCAGGTGGGGGGAGAAAGTGAGGGTGGACTCCTCTCCCTGTCCCACTCGTCTTTGGGAGGGTTCGTGGGACACGAGGCGTGTCCATCCTTTGGGGCTGCCAGGGTCACCTTCCCTTCCCCACAGGCTAAGCTTCAATAGCCCGAGGCTGCTGGGGCTGCGCTCCTCCGCCCGGGGTGGCATGGAGATGGTGGGGCAGCTGCGGGAGCTGACCCGTCTTCTGGAGGCCAAGGAATACCAGGCTCGCATGGAAGGTGTGGGGAGGCTCCTGGAGCACTGTAAGACCAGGCCAGAGCTCATCACTGCCCACCTGGTCCAGGTGAGCACCGGTCCCCTCACCCCACCCCTCGACACCCTCACACCTCCTCTCTCCTGTGGTTAGCACTTCAGTTCAGTAAGCTCCGAACCGAAGCACCGTGCCATGCTCCAGGGAGCCTGGCAAGCACTTGCTGTCCAGTGGCCATTGGGAACAGCAAAAGCCTGCCTGAGAGTGACCCACGGGGCAAGGGTGTGACTTCCTGCCAGATACGATAGGAATGATCCCTTCTCCAGACACCTTGGAACTACCTGAAGGTGACCTTGGTGTCTGCCATCCCCCTAGCAGGTTCAGGTGAGGCAGGGAGGAGCCCAAACTCTGACTGGGGCCTCAGGGCTTCTGGGCTCTTTACGGGCGGGTGTGAGTTTTGGGGGCACAACTCGTGGTCAGGCAGATGACTGGGTCCCAGGTGGATTAGGAGTAGGTACCAGCCTCTCACCGGGGAAATGATGGCTTCTTCTTGGAGCAAGGCTGCTGATAGTCAAGCCACACCTGGGGATGCAGGCTGGGCATCAGCACGCCTCGATTTCCACCCAAGCTTCTCCTGACGGTGGGTTCTGGGCAAGTGTCCTTGAGGCTCAGTTTGTACGTATGTATGTGGCTATGCCAGCACACACCTCATGCATTGCTAAGATCATTCAGCGAGAGGGTGCAGAATACCTGCCCGGAGACTTTTCCCTCAGAGGGTGCTCCGTCCCTACTAGTTCCTCCTCTAAGCCCCCCACCCTTCAAGGATGCAGGCTCCTCATTCTTGGAGGTGCTGCAGGGAGGCTGGGGGACCCCTGACAGGGACACAGCAGGAGGTCTTCTGGAGCAGTGGACTATGCTGGTGAACCTGCAGGTGCCTGGCTCTGTGGACTCCTACCTGGCTACAGTTCCCATAGGCCCTCAGTTTCTGTTTCCTCGATAGGTCTTTGATGCGTTCACCCCAAGGCTTCAGGATTCCAACAAGAAGGTGAACCAGGGGGCCTTGGAATCTCTCGCCGAGATGATACCCCTCCTCCGAGAGAGCTTACAGCCCATGCTGCTCTCCCTCACCATTGCCGTGGCAGACAACCTCAACTCCAAGAACGTGGGGATTTACACCGCAGCCACGGCCGCCTTGGATGCAATGATTGAGAACCTGGGTGAGCCTCCCGCCTTGGCCCCTGCCTGCCTGGAAGTCAGCATAGGGGTTCAAGGCACTGATTGGCTCTTGGGTCTTCTCCAAAGCTGTATAGAGCAGGGGTGGGGAGCCTGGAACCCCCTGAGACCCCTTGTTGGCAAGGTTTCCTCATCACACTTCCATATCCAGGAGGTTGGGAGAGGATTGGGTGTAGCCCCTGGTACCTGAGCCCCACAGGGGCAACCAGGAGGGCTGGGTGTAGCCCCTGGTACCTGAGCCCCACAGGGGGAACCAGGAGGGCTGGGGGAGGCTCCCTCCGGCATTGAAGGAAGGGAAGATCAGGACCATCGTAAATGGGTGGGGAGGGCTTGCCAGCATTTTCCTTAGGTGCAGAGGTGGTCTAGCAGTGGATGTGGTGGATGAGGGGGCAGAGGGCTGGGGCTGGGGGGCTGGGAGAGCAGAGCAAGACCATTCAGGGAGGAAAGAAAGTTGGCTTGGTTCCTGAGCATGAGGTGCGATCTCTGGTGGGTTCTGGTGTCTTCGGGACACAGTCACGTTTCAAACATCACAGGGGAAGAGGGAATTGGACAGGGACGGCAAGAGCAGGGCATGTGTGAGTAGATGTACACATGTCCAGACTGGTGGAATTGTGAGTTTTCGTAGGCAGCTTTTGCATTGACATGAGACAGTTGAGCTAACCACCACCGCCCACCCCCACCCCAATTTCCTCGCTGTGGCATGTCCCCGTGAGCACAGTGGGCATCCACAGAGCTGGACCTCCCTGTCACCCTCTGTGGCCTGGGCTCCCAGCTCTGGGGCTCAGCTAGCAGCTGTGTCCTTGGCTGGCACTTCTAGAAGTCCCCGTTACAAATCAAGAGGACTGGCCAGGCCCTTCCCTGCCTCTCGAGTTCATAAATATTGTCAGTTTCTGCTCATCATCTCAGAGGGAATTTATGATTTGTTGACTTTGTTGCTGTAGAACAAACAATATAAATCCAGCTCTAAATTACAGCTTGTTCTCAGCGCTGCTCTGGGTAAGTGAGATTGCTGTTGCCAATAACCAAGGCTCTTGGTAAATCACCGCGGGGCCCTGGATTTATTGGGAGAACCTGCACCAAGCAAAATAGTCCTTTGCTATTTGAAGAGGATAAACACCCTTGTCTGGGGAGAGGAGCTCTTAACTCTTCCCTCTCCAGGTGTGTTGGTTGTTATTTTTACTTTAGGCCAGCCTCCTAGAGCTCGCTGGGGCGCAGGACGTCTCATCTTGTCACAAGACTCAGGTCCCCTCTGTGTGGAGCCCACCTGGGCTGGGCAGCCTGCAAAGGGGGAGCTGGGAAGGGTTTGTCTTTGCGATGGAACCACACTTGGAGAGAGTGGCTGCTCCTAGAATGATGCCTGTAGTTTTCCCTCCTGTCCAGGGCTGCCTTGGGCATGACGCATGATGCCCTCTCTGGCCCCTTGACCAGGGGCCCCTGGAGATCAGCAGAGATCAGAGTGGACTTTTTCTAGTCCTTAGGTCAGTGCTAGGGCTGGAGTGGATTCAAAGGGTAGAGCTGAGCCCCAAACACCTCTGGCAAAAGGCTCCGGTGGAGGCCAAAGTTTGAATTGGTCCAGGGGCCACCTGGAGCAGGTGGGGGCGTATGGGCTAGTTGGCTCAGATGGCTTTGCTGTGAGCTACACCCTCAGGCTGACTAGCTGATTTCCTCATCCATGTGGGTAAGGGCTCTAAGTCACCCCCCAGGACAGTCCAGCATTGCCGGGGGTACAAAGGTAGCGTGAAGCTCTCCCTGGGAATGTTTTCATCTGCCCGGGAGGGTCTGAGCCTGGCCTTCCCAGGGCCAAGGGATGCAAGGAGTGAAACTCTCCCCTCTCAGAAGGGAGTGGGCTAGAACAGCGGAGCACTGTGGACCCGTTCTTCCCGGGTCATCATGGCTGACCAGGATGGACCAGATAGGACAAAATATGGGTGCTGGGAACAATAACTAGAACAGGGAACATTACAGCTCAACGCCCTGATAGAAATGTAATCGCCCTCTTTGTTTTCCTTACTTTTATTGGGGGCTCTTACATCTCATCATAATCCATACATTCATCCAGTGTGTCAGCACACTTTCACATATGCCACCATCATCATTTTCAAAGCCTTCTCTTCCCACTTGAGCCCCTGATATCAGCTCCCCGTTTCTTTCCCTTCCCCACCCAACCTTCCTCATGAACCCTTGATAAGCTATAGATTATTATTTTCATATCTTACCTTGTCCTCCATCGCCCCTCACTCACTTTTCCATTAATCATCCATCCCCTTGGGAGGGGGTTCTAGGTTGATCCTTATGATCAATTCCCCCTTTCTCCCCGCACCCTCCCCTAATCCTCCTGGTATCTCTGCTCTCCTTGTTGGCCCTGAGGGGTTTATCTGTCCTGGAAGGTCAGTGACAGAGCGGCATGGGGTTTCTGCCCGTGCTGCTTTTGTGGCACAAGGCACTGAGGTGGTGCAAACAGTCTGTTCCCAACTGCTCACCCAAAGGTGGGTGCTGTGGCTTCCTCCAGCGGTGCCTGGGAAGACAGGCCAGGTGATCCACTGCTGCGAGTACAGCCAGCCAAAGCCCCATGGAGCAGTGCTTCTCTGCGGCAGATGGGCGCTGATGTGCCAGGGTCCATTGGCTGGGTGGTAACCCCCGGTCTCTTGGCACTGCAAGCGGTGGAGGCTGAGAGAGGTCCCTCTTGTTTTCAAAGCTAATCAAAAGTTTTTAAATTGTACATGATCAACTTTGTATTCATCAACAACCAAATCAGCTACTTCGTATCTAATACTTTAAACTACTCATCAAGCCCCTCCCGAGAGTCGACCCTTCACCAGCAGGGACTCTACCAAGGCTGGCTGCTTCCAGGCTGGTTACCCGGGGGCGGGGGTGGGTGGGTGGGGATCCAGGCAGTTCCTGGAGCCTCCTGACTGACTTGGGCTTCCGGCTCTCTCACTGAGTTCGTGGCAGAAGCACCCTCCCTAACTGAAACATCAAGCTGCCCACCGCTCACCCGGTTCCCAATGAGAGCCTCTCCTTCTGTCTTCTCAGTGTCCAAAGGCTGCGGTCTCCCCCCTCCCCCCAGTAATGTAGCCCAGCCCCTGGCAAGAGCTGGCAAGAGCAGCTAAGCTCCGGGTGGCTTCAGATTCCCTTCTGTGACACTGCCCTTTCCCTCTGAGTCGATGACCTGCTGGAAACCGTGTGGCCAACATCTCACTGTTACTGACACGTGAATACTCACTTTGTGATTTCCCCCTAATACATCAATGGCTGAAAACCGTCCCAGGCAGCTCCTGTTTTTTTTTTCTTGCTCCGTGCATACTGTTGTCCCTGGTTATAAATCATCATCAGGTAAACACAGTTTTGATTTTGCTTCTTAATAAAAACCCAACAACAAAAACCAAAACACCTCCAAAAGCCATATTGTACCCTGTTTGCCAGGTGATGGTGCATGCATGTTTATAGGTAAATTGTTCTTGGCTGTTGTAAATGGTTACTATGCTCAGATGCTAACTGAAAAGTTGTAAGTTCGAGTCCACTCAGAGGCACCTTGGGAGAAAGGCCGGGTGACCCACTTCCCCCAAACCCCTCAAAACCCCATGAAGCACCATTCTCCTGTGGTACACAAGAGGTCCCCGTGAGTTCCAATCAATCCAATGGCAACTGGCTTTTAAGGTTCACTTAAAAAGTAGATTCAAGCCATCTGGATCAGCGCCTGGGGTTCCACCACTATGCTTTCTCAGCGCTTTTTAAACTTAAGTGTGACCCAAGAGACGCGCCTTCTCTTATGAAGATGCAGTGTCCTGGGGCTCTTAACCCAGGGTGGGCAAACCTCCCATCTGTTTGAACATTCCCCTTCACTCTGCAGGCGTGTACCCAGCATTGCCCTGTGCCCAGCCCATGGGAGCGTGGTAGGGCACAGTGGTCAGTCCAATGTGCATTCAAGGCCGCTCTCAGCCCACTTCTTTCTGGCTCTGGGAGGCCATGCAATTGGCCAGGCTGCGGGGAGGGGGTGGAGGCTCCGCTGTGTCCAGAGAACATCCTGGTTGGAGTGCTGTGCTGAGAGACCAAGGAGGGAGCGCTTGTGAGGCCAGGCTAGTGCAGGGTAATAGAAGTATCTGGAAACAATAACACAGCTGATGTTGATACAGAATCATATTATGACACAATCACACCTTGACCAGGACTATATTGCTAACTGTGATATTCTAGAAGCTGGCTTTTTATATATAAAACGATCGCCCCGAATGAATTATTTTTGACAGATTTTTGCCTTTTGGCACGGGCTTTAGCCAACAGCTGAGCTTCACCTGTGTACTTTTCTCCTCTGTAGCCTTTCCAGGTCTCAGGAGGCGAGTAAGGGAAGCAGGAATTAGATGTTAGCTAGAACGACTGCCCGAAGGGAATGCTCTCAGTTCCCGGGGGGGGAGAGAAAGCTAAGCTTGGTTGCACAGCTATGGGGATGCTGTGTGCGGAGGCATTGAGGGCGCGCAGACTTTGCCGGGGAAGACTTCTTCAGCCAGGTCTTTAACCTCTGTACTCTACAAAGAGAAAACCAGCCTTGCAGATGGCCGGCTAATGGGCCCTTGGCCAATGGACTGTGGTCACACCCGGGCAGGTCCTTCCTGACAAGTGCAGACAAGCCCCACAGCCACATCCCTGGAACATGCACTTTTGTATGTGCCCCACCTCCCATTATGTTGTGAATTACACCGTGACAGTCATGCTTGCAACATGCTGGGAGCTGGGCATGCTGGTGCTTCTGCGGTGCACATCAGGAACAATGGGACAGTAACTGGTCCCGGCTTGTGCATATTCTAGGTTAGCACTCCTTTCTCAGGGGGCAGGGCCCGTTTTCCTCACCTGGCACGTCTCTGTGGGGAAAGCAGAACTCCAAGGTAAGAAGTCTGAGCAGAAAAGATCTGTGTCTCGGTGTTGTGCATTTGGTATCTGGCTGGACTTGGCTTCAGAAATACAATTAAAGGATGACAGCGAGTTTCTTCAGCCTCCAAGACTCCCCAGCCCACTTACCTGTGATTTTGCCATGTGTGGCTTTGCTCTGCAGTCAACTCCCTTATAGTTTTAGTTCTCTTTCAAGATACAGACAGGAAGTGTTCCCTTCCAGGGCTCCATCCGGAGGGTGTGCCTGGGAGAGCAGGCTCCTGGGGCTGGGTGTGGCTGGAGTGCTGGTGGAGCTGGGCAGCTGTGGAGGTTTCTGGGACAATTGAAAACAAGAGAAAAGATTTTTAAAAACCCTCTTTCCCCAAACTTCCAGAAAGGTGAATTGGGACATTTGAAGGATAAACTCTGTCTTTATAAGTGTGCACATTGATAAGCCTGTGCAGCATAGTTCTACTGTGGCACCTGTGGGGTTGCTGTGAGTCAGGGTCAACTTCAAGGCAACTGGTTAGCTATCTGCATTTAGGTAGCTAGCCATCCATCATCCATTCATCTATCCATCCATCCATCCATCATACATTCATCCATCCACCATCTATTTATCATTCATTTGTCCATTCATCCATCCATCATCTATGCATCCACCATCTATCCATCATCCATTTGTCCATCCATTCATCACCCACTCATCCATCCATCCATTCAGCCATCCATCATCTATTTATCATCCATTTTTCCTTCCATCCTTCCATCATCCATCTTCTATCTATCCACCATCTATCCATCATACATTTGTCCTTCCATATATTCATCTATCCATCCATTCATAATCCACTCATCTATCCATCCATCCACTCATCATCCATCTACCCATCCATCCATCATCCACTCATCCATCCATCCACCCATCCATCCGTCCATCCATCATATATCCATCATCCATCCATCCATCCATCCATCCATCTGTCCATCCATAATATAGCCATCATCCACTCATCTATCCATCCATCCATTGATCATCCACCTATTCATTATCCATATATCCATCCATTATTTATCCATAATCTATCCATCATCCACTCATCCATCCATCCATCCATCCATCCATCCATCCATCCATCCATCCATCTATTCATCTTCCATCTATCCATCTGTCCATTCTCCCTCCTCCCCTCCCTTTCTTTTTGGCCCAAATCTCACAGCAACATGAGGCTACAGGGACAACATAAATCTGGATCATTTTCTGTTCAGAGGACCGTTTGGAAGCCATTTGAACTATTTGGGCTACCTACTCTTTCCCAAACATCCTTTGTACATTCAGTATTAGAAGTGGTCCCATTAGGACAAACCGATCTGTCTTCTAGGATGCACAGCCAGAGTGCTCCTTCCAAGGCAAGGATGGCGAGACTTTGTTTTACATACTTTGGACATGTTGTCAGGAGAGGCCAGTCCTTGGAGAAGGACATCATGCTTGGTAAAGGGGAGGGGCAGTGGAAAAGAGGAAGACCCTCCAGGAGATGGACTGATGTGGTGGCTGCAACAATGGGCTCAGGCATGAGGGTGATGCAGGATGGGGCAGTGTTTCATTGGGTTGTGCATCAGGTCCACATGGGTTGGAACTGACTCGATGGACCTAACAACAACAACAATTATGACCTTCCCCATGAATACAAATTTCTTCATTGCCCCAAAGGGCCCCTCCCCATTGTGGGTGGCTGGCTCTGCGTACCCCTGGTGCTGTGTGTATAGCCCACATCATCACAGTCATGAACACTCTCTCTCTTTAGACAGCCTGTTCCTCTTACAAGTGTTTGCTGGGCGGGTGCGTTTCCTGAGCGGCCGTGCACTGCTTGATGTCACAGACCGTCTGGCAGGTAAGCCGCCCGACACCCCCAGCGCCCGTGGCTTATCCAGGTGATGCCTATTCCCCTCTCGTGGCCCCTGGCTGACCTTACCTTCTCCCTGCCACTGAGTCCGTCCTGCCTCATGCCAACCCTGTGGGACAGGGCAGGATGCCCCTGTGGGCCTCTGAGACAATAACTGTTTATGGAAGTAGAAAGCCCCATCTCTCCTGTGGACAGCCTGGTGGTTTGGAACTGTGGACCTTGTGGATCGTAGCCCAACCTGTAGCCACTATGCTACCAAGAATTTCCCTTAGAACTAGAGTAATCTCCACAGATCATTTGAGTTTTTAAATTTAAGTGATGTGTGTGGTGTGTGTGCAAGAGAGAGAGAGACAGCCTACATTGCCAGACAACAGTTTTTGTTCAAAGGGAGACAGGTTTGCACATCACCAAAAGTTAGTAAAAACCTCAGTGTGGATTAGAGAAAGCAGTGGCCTAGTGGGTCATGGGTTGGCCTGCAAGCCACAAGGCCATCGGTTCAAACTCACCTACAACTCCACTGGAGAAAGTTGAGGCTGTGTGCTCCCTCAAAGATTTACAGCCTTTGAAACCCACGGGGCAGCAGTAGTACTCGGTCCTATAATGTCTCTGAGTCAGAACTGCTGGTAGTGAGTGTTTTTGACCTTGTCCAGGTAGAGTGTGTCTTCTGGGTACACGGCGTGGTGAGCAGGCAGCACTGTTGTGAGAATGAGGACAAGCTGACCCAGTCTCAGGTCAGCACCCCTGCCAACAAGCAGAGCAGGCACTGGGTTTTAACCCCACGTGACCCTGGGCCAGGTGCCCAGGCCTATACTGTGTACACATGGGGACTCAGCCTGGATCTGCTCGGCCCTGTTCCAAGAAGGTGCTCTGATTCTACAACTCTTGCTGCACTGAGTCTGCAAGGTAATTCCCAAGAGATTTCGTTTCAGTGCTGGGACCTGCTTCTGTGGCCCTCAATGCGGCGACAGGGAGAGGACCTGGGTTTCAGGGACCACTGATCCCTTTACTGACCACCAGCTCCTCTCCTGAACAGACCACTTCGTTCCCCGGTCCCTCTTGCTTGCCGGAAGCCCCCTCTACCGTCTTGTGCAGGCTCCACCTATGGAGGAAGGAAGCCCATGAGGCCTTTTCTCTAGACTCCAGAGGGCTCCCCTTGGGGGGACTCATATGCCTTTCCATCTTTCCACCGCTGCCGAAGCTGCTTCCGGCTAGCGCCAGGCGTCCCAGAGCGGGCCCACCAAGCCTACCACTGCCTGACTTCCCACCTCTCCAGTCTCTGGCCTTCTCTCCCTGGCCCCATTACATGCCCCATATCACGGAGTCCTCATTTCAGCCCCAGGAGGAGGATAGATATCCCTTCTCAGAGCGGAGAACTGAAAGGTTAAGTGCCCAGGGTCCCCTGCCAACACCCTGGCGTGGAGGTACTGGAGCTGGCTGCAGAGCCGAGCCTCCACCACTGCCCATGCAGGCCCAGCAGGGGTTCCATCCTCTCCCTAGGCCTCTTCCCACCATAGACAGTCACTTCTACCCTTTCTTCCCCCACTGGGGCCAGGCTCACTGGGTTCTGGTCACACTTCCTCTGTCCCCAGCTCCCCTCCCTGTAGCACTCCTGTGGGAGTTAGGTATCCTACAGGACAGCATGCCCCCAGGTCTTCTGGGTCTCCTGGTGCCCAGCCTGTGCCCCGTGTCCCACAGCACTGGGCATGCAGTAGATGACAGATCCAGGCTGCTGGTCGCCCGGAGTGCAGCTGCTCATTCCAGCACCTCTGCGCTGTCTCTGTCTCAGTCCTCCCGGCATCCCTGGTGTGGCCTCTTACCAGGTGTCAGGCCTTTGCCAAGCAGGCAGGGCCAGTGAGCAAGGGCAGGCCTATACGGGCCACACCAGCCGTGTTGTGGTGCGCTGAGACCACCCTGAGTCCCAGACAGAGAACCTTCCTCTCGTGTCCAAACTCAGCCATGTCCGAGTGAAATCCTCCCCTACCCCATCCGAGGTCACCTAGGGGGCCGAGAGGTAGGACAGCCGCCTCATTTAACCTTTGAGAAGAGGGCCCAGGCAGCAGGCTCTCCGTGGCTATCAGACTGGAACAGCCGAGACTATTCCAATGGGCAGGAGACGGGTGTTGACTCCTCACAGCACTGCTGAACGGGAGTAAATCGGTTGCTGATCCTTTCAGTGGGCTTTGAAGCTTGAGCTGAATGGGGGTTTCCTCCTTGTGATGGACACCCCCCCCCAACCCGAACTTTGAAAGGCCTCCGACAGCAGGTGACAGTGTCAGGCCCCGCGGGGGTCCTGTGTCCGTAAGGACCTGACCAGCAAACAAAGGAAGCCCAGGATCTATGAGGGGCCCCCCAGATTGTGCTTCTGGCTGGGGCTTGAGCTTCCTGGGGGGCATGCGTCTTTGGCTGTCACTGGTCCTCACTGGTCCTGAGAGGGAGCCAGGCTCTGGTCTGGAGTGTCGCTGGGTCTGGAAGCATGGGCAGGTGGGGCAGGTGGGTGAACTCGCTCTATCCTTTGATGGTGGGGGAATGGGAGAGGGGTGACTCACTTGGGCCTGTTTCTGGAGAGAGTCCTACTTTCTTTAGTGGCTGAGGCTTGGTGTCGACTTTGGAAACCTTTCAATTGTGTTTCTTGGCAAAGGTAACCATGGATGACCACCCACCTTCCATATTGCCTCTCACGACCTCCTAGCTGACTGCTCTCACCCATCTTTCAATGCCTTGTCTCCAACCTCCGTCCTTGGGGGTGAATGGAGGGGCTCTCTTGTTAACTCTCCTCCCCTCTCAACACACGTGGTCCAAACTGTGGGAGCACAGCTCTCACCTCTACAGCCAGCGCACCTCCTTGTTCAAGGCCCTCTCCTCTGGAGAGTCCCCGTGGATGCGACGTGGCCGAGCTGACTCGGAGGATGTCTTGTCTTCCCCAGGGATAAGGAACACTTTCACCGAAATCTCTATGGTTTCTGAGTTACGAGGGGATCGATCCCTACTGGTGTCCCAGCAAGTGGGATGCAGGAACCCTGAGAGTCGAGCCCGGAAGTCAACGTGCCCTTTCTGTGGGAAATGTCACGGAGATTGTGTCTGGCTGAGCTGTGCGGGTCGGAAGGTCACCGACTTGGCTCTCCATTGTCCCCGGCTGGCTGTGGCTTGACAGAGACCCTGTAGGGCTCCTGGTGGAGGGTGTCCTGGGGACCTGGGTGAGTTAAGCTGCCAAGGGAGGACTACTGGAGGGCTTCCTGAGAAATAAAACGGAGCTCCAGAGCAGCCACTGGAAAGTGAAACCCCTGGAGAGGGGAGGGAGATGCCATTAAGGGTGATGGGGAAATGGTGACAGTTGAACTGCATGATGAG